ATTAGACCCCCCCCCCCCCCAGAGTCTAATGACTAATTATGCATTTTTTGGCCATCGTCACAGCCTGTAGGGTTTTCAAGCTAAGAGAGGTTCAGAGGTGGTTTGCCATTGCTTGCCTCTGTATGACTATCCTGGTATTCCTTGGTGGTCTCCCATCCAAACAAGGGCCAGCCCTACTTAGCTTTCAAGATCTGACAAGGTTATGCCAGCCTGGGCTATCCAGGTCACAGAAAGAGTTATGCAATAATTATACAACGGCTGATGCAATTCACCCTTAACTAGACATTATAATCTACTGGAAAAGTGCAAAATACTAAAAAAAAATGGATATAGGAAAGGTGAAAATGGTGTAACAGGAGACTAAATTGATGAGATAGCTAAACTTGAATTATTTGTTTACATTATTTATAGTCCACCTTTCTTGATTGGACTCAAGGTGGATTACACACAAGAAAATACAATCAACAGGATGGGACATCCAACAGAGAAGGCAATAAAATTATTTAATTTTATTATTTACATTTAGGCAAAAAGAATTTGAACTTCCTGAATGTAAGTAAACCCTAAAACCCCCAGAAGTATAGAAGTTCATACATCCTTAATAATGGATAAGCTTTAGGACAATTTTACATAGACTGAAGCTCTTAAAATTCAACTTACTTGAGTGTTTCTGAAAGGAAGAAACTCTGCTGCACATCATCATGGCTCTGATGGTTGCTGTAAACATCTCTGACTCCACTGTAGCCACCATCTACTCTGCAATATTTTTCCAATGCCTAAGTCACAAAGGAAAAAAAATGATAAAATATGATTTTCTTGCTGGTAAAACACTACATATCTTCAGCAGTAGGAAAGAGCAAGAGTCCAGTAGCACCTTAAAGACTAACAAAATTTGTGGTAGGGTATTGAGCTTTCGTGAGTCACTGCTCACTTCTTCAGACTTTGCAACATTCTAGCTGTATCTGAAGAACTGAGCAGTGACTCATGAAAGCTTACAACCTATGACAAATTTTGTTAGTCTTTAAGATGCTACTGGACTCTTACTCTTTTCTACTACATATCTTCAGTAATTTACAATCTATGGTTCTACTTTAAAATATGCACAAATCTGGTCTCCCCATTAATATATATCATTTTGTTATGTTTCTGTATAAAGTGAATCTTATTATGACTGCCAGTCCAAAGAATTATGTTCCACTGCAATCAATGAGACAAAGAAAATAATGACTATCTTAAATCTATTAATTTCAGTATCTGCGATAGGTGAAGAATATTTTTATAGTATTCATAAAATATAGAAAGCCCTAAAAAGTATACACAAGAGGATTCAAAATGATACCAGTATGTGGGATTGGATCAAAGTTTTCACAAATGGAGCAAATTTGCAGAAGCCTTGGATCCAACCGATATTCTTAGATTTGTCTATTATAATACAAATCATTTGAACTTCATTCAAACATCATCTAAGTAAATGATGCCATATCTATATCTGAACCTCCATTACTAAAAAAATTATTTCAGCTACTCTGTTTTAGTGATTATCAGTAACTTTGCACCATTCTTTCCTTGCAAGTATACTTCTTAATTTACATTACAACAGTTTTGTTAAAAGTACTTTTATCGCTTTTGCCATACAAGTTACAGGCAATGCCCAGGGGTCATTTCCTGCAGGAGCGCACAGGAGCGGAGCTCCGGCAGTAAAGAGCCCAGGGGGCGGGCACATGCAACAAGCCCCACCCCCTGCTCCCAGCAGCCCTCAGTCAGAGCAAGAAAGAGCCAGGTAAGTTGCAGAGCTCTCCCCCCCGGCCCAAAACAGTCCAATGGCACCTTTAAGACCAGGTTTTATTCAGGTACAAGCTCTCCTTCCTCTGCGAGGACAGATCAGAACGTTCCTCCCCCAATAGCTAGCAATCTAAAACAGTCCAGTGGAGCCTGAGCGGTCGGTGTTGCCTTCTGACACACTTCCGGAGATGTCAGGGGGTGTGGCATATGCAAATAAGTTATGCTAATGAGCTCCTGCACCTCTTTTTCTACAAAATGACCCCTGGCAATGCCATTGGGTTTTTTAAGGCAAGAGATGTGCAGAGATAATTTGCCACTGCTTGCCTCTGCATCATGACCCTGATACTATGTTATTTTTCTCCCTGAACAATTTATTTGCGTTTAACAGTTGCACATCAATTTTACCTTTTCTGTCAATTAATAATTTATACATTTTAGAATATGGAGCTGCAAAACAGGCACCATTACTTAAGACTATATGGCCTGAAAATTCTATTCATCACATAATTCAAGTACTTTGTATCATTAGCCTACAATATGACATTGAATGAGGAATATGAAGTGTCCTAATTTCAAAACAGGAGCTGCGGTGGCTCAAGTGGTTAAGATGCTGAACTGCAGGCTGTGGAAGGTCAGTAGTTCAGCAGTTCAAGACCCGGGTGCCGCAAGACGGAGTGAGCTCCCGTCTCTAGTTCCAGGTCCTGCCAACCTAGCAGTTCGAAAGCAAAAAATTGCTTACCACTTTGGTGGGAAGATAACAGCTTTCCGTGCGCCTTGGTGTTTAGTCATGCTGGCCACATGACCACGGAAACGTCTTCGGACAGCGCTGGCTCTTCGGCTTTGAGACGGAGATGAGCACCGCAACCCTAGAGTCGGACTCGACTGACTTTCAAGCAAGGGAACCTTTACCTTTACTAATTTCAAAACAGATTTAACATGGCTGAGAAGAAGCAGCTGAAAAAATCTGCCTTGAGCTTCCAAGTGTACTAAGTTTGCAACCATTCTGGAGGCAAACAAAGAATAATTAAGCGTTTCATTTTTCTGTTTTAAATCCTTTTAAAACTTTAGAAATATCCTAGGGATTCCCCCTTACCAGGTATGCATTAGGTATTAATAAAATGCTGAAGTTTCAAAGCTTGGACTGAAATCATTCAGTAAAGAGTGGATTAATTATAAGCCCATGGATGGTAGTTGCAGGCAAATTTCTTTGTGGAAGTGCACCTAACACAAAAATGATTTGGGGTTTTATGTGCTTTTTATGTTCTGGGTTTTCAATGAAGAGTTGGCTTTTATACCACGCTTTTTCTCTACCTTAAGGAGTCTCAAAGCAGCTTATGATTGCCTTCCCTTCCCCAGGTAGGTGGGGTTGAGAGAGTTCTGAGAAAACTGTGACTAGCTTCATGCGGAGGAGTGGGGAATCAGACCCGATTCTCCAGATTTGAGTCCACTGCTCTTAACCACTACACCACATTAGCTCTCATGGTTTGTTATTTACACTGTTACTATACTATATTTTTAGGATTTATTCTTGTTTTATATTGTGAGCTGCCTCAAGCAGGTCTCTGAAAATTTCTAAGTAAAATATCTTTCCAGTGTAAGAAGCAGTTCCAGATCAGCTGGCAAGGGGAATCAGGGAAGTAAGCACAGCTTCCTCTCCTCTGCTTGTCACTGAACAATCCAGCAATCACATTTTGAATCTACATTTGCACTGATGGGAACCATATCTGGCTATAATTTCCAACTAATCTGAATGAAGTAGTCAAAGGTTGCTCATCCAAGGGATCTTTCCTGCCATATTAGAGGGGAAAGAATGGGTCCCAGTTTCATAGGCAACTAAAAAGCAACATACATATTAGAAATAGGTGAAAAAAATCACCCAAATTGAATAGGAAATACAAACATGTTATTTTCATTTTCAATAAACAAGGACATTCTAAAATCCAAAGCTGACTGTTCAAAATTCAGTACAATGTTACACGATAAGCTTCTTAATTTGTTAGACTGAAGCAGATATATGCTTATACTTAGCTATCATACTTCCTTTTCTTTAAGCAGCATACTATTTTTTTACACTGATGTATATGTATGTTAAAGGAGCTGCGGTGGCTCAAGTGGTTAAGACGCTGAACTGCAGGCTGTGGAAGGTCCATAGTTCAGCAGTTCGAGACCCGGGTTGCTGCATGACGGAGTGAGCTCCCGTCTCTAGTTCCAGGTCCTGCCAACCTAGCAGTTTGAAAGCAAGAAATCACGTAGATAAATAGGTACCACTTCGGTGAGAAGGTAACAGCGTTCCGTGCACCTTGGTGTTTAATCATGCCGGCCACATGACCACGGAAATGTCTTCGGACAGCGCTGGCTCTTCGGCTTTGAGACGGAGATGAGCACCGCAACCCTAGAGTCTGATTCGACTGGCTTTCGAGCAAGGGAACCTTTACCTTTACCTATATGTATGTTGTGGTTTTAACTTACCTTTTAAACTGTATTTACTTGTATCAATTTTTTTCTATGCCAATAAAGGCTACTTAACTAGCTATTTTTTTTTGCTGTTGGCTCTGCAAGTCATACAAGCAGCCTAAAGGCAATTCTGAAATATAACTTTGTCAAGATTAAGTCTTCAAAGATCCCCCCCCCCCACAATCCCCTTTACCTCTACAGCTTCCCAACCCCATTGACGATATTTTGGGTCATGGGTAAATCGCCACATATACATGTAGGTTTCTATAACTTCAGGTCGCAAGATGTAGTATTTCTCATTTTGCCTCGTAGCAATTGCCTCAACTCCGCCATCAAATCTAAAGGCTTCTGGTCCCAGCTTCATGCCTAGACACAATAATCAATATCAAACAGGATCAATACTGGTGTGAAAGATTCCCAAGTCTTCAGTATGCAGAAGAACCATGCTAAATTATCTGTGTTAGCTTATTACTACACTGCAGAAACATTTTTTGGAATTTCTCAACCCTGTTAATGTATAGTCTATTGCTGCTGTACAACGTTCTAGGCCTCAAAAGAGGAAGTACCAGTATTTTAAAAACATAGGAAGATTTACCGACATTCTTGAGAGGAAATAATTCAGAATGAAAACATGGCAAATTGTGGCCAATACACATGGAAAATTCTTGTAATAGTGATGTACTTTATCTGCTGGTTCAGTATTTCCACCAAAGCACCTACTAACATAAGTACATAAGAGATGCCAATGCTGGATCAGGCTAAAGGCCCATCCAGTCCAACACTCTTGTCACACAGTGGTCAAAAATACCAGTTGCCATCAGGAGGTCCAACAGTGGGCCCAGGACATTAGAAGCACTCCCACTGTTGACCCCCCCCCCCAAGCACCAAGACGTCAGAGCATCACTTGCCCCAGAGCCCCTATCTATACCTTGTGGCTAATAGCCACTGGTGGACCTCTGCTCCATATGCTTATCTAATTCCCTTTTGAAGCCGTCCATGCTTGTAGCTGCTACCACTTCCTGTGGCAGTGAATTCCATGTGTTAATCACTCTTTGGGTGAAGAAGTACTTCCTTTTATCCGTTCTAACCCGACCGCTCAGCAATTTCATGGAGTGCCCACGAGTTCTGGCTACCATCCCCCCAGCCAAAAGCACAGACTGCACACCCAAGAACTACAGGGCTGCCCCATGAACCTTCTAGGATCAGTTGCAGGGGCACCCCGGGGGGAGACATCCTGCCTCAGCAGTGTGCACAGATGCAAATGCCATGGGTGCTCCCTAATGGATCAACCCTGGCTGTGGTCCCTAGGTCGAGCATGGGCTGATGACATTTCCAGGACCTGTTGTGCAAAAAATGCTGTTGGCTTAAGGGACCGCCACCTCAGTGAGGCTTGGCAGGTAGCATTCTGTGCTGCTGAGTGGAGATGGTCAGTTTCAGAGGGCATTCACCTACAGAGGCCTGCTTGGCGCATCTGGATCCCAGTTGCCCTGGGGATACTTGCGTTTGCAAATGAGAGGCTTGGATGGCACATAGCAGCAGTTATCAGGCAACCTCAGCCACCAACAGCAAAACTGAAGGGCACCACGGTTGGCATGTGCATCAGCCTTCCTGATGGCTTCCCTGCACGATGGCTACCATGAGGGTAAACACCATCACTACGTATGCCAAGCCAGGTCTCATCCACCCCAAAACATCCCGGGGCCCAGTGCCCACAGAGCTAGGAGCATCCTCCCATTGTTGGGTGGATGCAAGGGGCCTGCACCATGGAGGGACCCATGCAGGTGGGCCATCCCTTCAATGAACTGCCCCCTCTGCTCTTACAAAACTGGCATACCTCAGTGGTCCCACCTGGTAGAAATTCCTAGCTCTGTAGTCGCCATTGTCCCTGTGTGAAAAAATGGCTGAGAGGGCCAACCAACCTCCTGGCCAAAGCCACGAGGGCACAGGGGCCCCAGCTGTGCTTGGTCCCTATGGCAGTGACCTTACTGACTCCTCTGGATGCCAGAGACCACCATAGCTCTGGCATGAAGAGGCAGACCTGACTTAGCCCTGATCCTGGCTGGTTGAGCCCAGGGCCACCACTGTGTTTGCTCCAGCATGGTGAGCAGGCCACCCTGTTAATTCCAGTGACATCCAAATGGCATCATGTGCTGGGGAGGTCTAGGCCTCGCAGGGCCAGGGAAAGGCATATGGGGCCGGAGGCACCTTGAAGCCCCATGGTGGGGGTCAGGCATCTTGGACAGGCCACGAACGGCTCTGTCATTCCCCATGCAGCATTCCCTCTCCGACTGGCAGCATCTGTAATGGTTGCTGCTGGGCACCTCGAGGGGCTTCTTGTCATTATGAGGGACACATGGAGCACATTGAGAGGCTCCTGGGATACCTCTCAGAGTCTCCCCAAGGCCCCCCACCTCTCTGCCTGCTGTTCCTCCAGCGGGGGTGGTACACAGGTGGGCACAGGGACACCCTCGATGGTGTGAGTGTCTGGTCACCGTGGCCAGCAGTGACAAGTGGGGCACCATGATATCCATGTTTTTGTTTGTCATCAGCCTCTGGTGCCCTGTACACTCTGTGTGTGGAGCGCCACTGTGGGGCACCAGTGGGGCTGACGGGTGATGCCCACAGATAGGTGGCTGGGACTTGTGATGGGAGTTGGTCTCTTTAAAGGGGAGGTGTGGCAGAGGAGTGTTGTCCTGTGGGCCACCCCTCCCCACCCTCTGCCAGTGATGGAGGCTTGGCTTGGCCTCTTCGATTCATGACTCCCATTGATCCTGCCTACCCTGTCTATCGTGCTGCTCCCACCTTGCAACAACACTGAAATGGAACTCTGGAATTGCCGTGGACTCCACATGGCAGCAGCTGGCAACACTGTTGGGGTACCGTTTCCCCCTTTTGGCCACAGTGTAACTATCTCCTTAGGGAGGTGACTAGCAGTGCAGCCACCAGCCGCTGCGGTGCAGGTGTGGCTCAGGACTGCTTTGCACATTATTTAATGGATTCATTAACCAGATATAGAATTGACAGAATTCACTGATATCTGCCGTGTCTACAACAGTGATCCTGATCTCTTCTCTGTTGAATGTTCATTCTGCTTATCTTTGTATACATTTGGTTTTCTATCTTTAATTCATTCATCATTTTATAATCCTCTATCTTTTGATCTGGTGGGCGATAACAAACTCACAGTGTTAAGTTTCCTTTTGGCCCCCCTATTTCAACCCATAGAATTTCCAGAAGCGAATCCAATTCTCTTAGCCTCTCAATCTTTCTGGACCTTATACCCTCTCTGACATACAGAGCCACCCCACCTCCAACCCTTCCCCCCTATCCTTCCGATATAATATACAACCGGGAATCACTGTATCCCACTGATTTTCCTCATCCCACCAAGTTTCTGAAATACCCAAAATGTCTATTTTTCCTTCCAACACCAAGCACTCCAACTCCCCGATTTTACCTCGGACACTTCTAGCATTTATATAGAAACAGCTATAATTTCCCATACAAGTTAAGCCTGCAACCTTCCTCTTGCTATCTCGAGACCTTGTCAGGCAGCCCATGTCACTAGCCATGGTCTCAGTGGACAATTTCAATCCACCTCCCTGTAGAAAAGCAACAGGTACCCCCTAATCTCTCTGAGATGAGCAAACCCGAACCAGAAACTTTTAATCTCCTGTCAGCTTTCCCCAATATTCAGTTTAAAAACTGCTCTGCCACCTTTTTGATTTTAAGCGCCAGCAGCCTGGTTTCTTCTCGGGACAAGTGGAGACAGTCTCACCTGTACAGCTCCCTCTTGTTACAAAAAGCATCCCAATGCCTAAGAAACTTGAAACCTTTCCCCCTACACCATCATCTCATCCACGCATTGAGACTCCTGATCTGTGCCTGTCTCTCCAGCCCTGCGCGTGGAACAGGTAGCACTTCTGAGAAAGCTACCTTAGAGGTCCTGGACCTAAGTTTCCTGCCCAGCAGCCTAAATTTCTCCTCCAGGACCTCACGACTGCATTTCCCCACATCGTTGGTGCCGACATGCATCACGACCACTGGCTTCTCCCCACAACTATCTACCAGCCTATCTAAAACATGCGTAATTTCTGCTACCTTCGCACCAGGCAGGCAAGTCACCATACGGTCAAGTCCGCAGGTTCGCCACCCAGCTGTCTACCTGCCTAAGGATTGAATCACCAACTACCAAGAGCCCCCCTCCCACCCTGCCCTGGGATGGTTCCTTGGTGCGAAAGGATACCCGCTCACCAGCTACATCTGCCACTTAAAGTTCTTGTCTTAAGAGAAAAAAATATTCAAAAAAATGTTCACTGGGGACATCTGAAACTGTTATTTTGGTGAATACATAAAATTAATTGGTTGAACAGAGGTATCAACCCTTTTCAGACAGTTGAAAGTCTGGAAAATTAAATATCCACACGTGCAACTACAAAATTTGCTGAGTGGGTCTGTGTATAGCGAGCCTATCAGCCAATGTTTATTTACATTATTTCTTAGCTGCTTCTGCACATATATGCCTTCAGGGTTTGTTTGTTTTTAAGTTGAGAACATTTATATGCTGACTCTCCAGAGACATCCTCCAGATGCCTCAAGACCAAATACAACAAAACAAACCCATTAAAACGAGCCAAGGCATAAAGACAATGTGGAGAAACGCCATTTTCTGGATGTAAGTTGGTGTGGGCTGGATAGGAGGAGGCCATCAAACTGGGGGTAGGCCTGGGCCTAGTCTACCTCCTCGTTCCCCCCCCTCCCCTCCTGCTTCCAACCAGCAACCTGAGGGCAGCTCCCTAGAGAGGACAGGAAGTCCATCATGGTGGTGAGGAGATCTGCCCCAGAAGGCTGCAGGGGGGAGAGCCAGTTCCTGGGCGGGAGACTGCGGTATTACATAGGGGAGTTTTGGGTGGGAAGCCAATCAGTCAGTCTGTGAGAAGTCTGAAGCCAGTCAGACAGTTGGTTGGAGTCTGCAGGAGGCAGAGGCCCTGTTGGGAGACATGCTGATCTAACCTTCTCCAGTGAAATGAAGGAATGTGCCTGCCCTGCAGACCATCTAGACAGGACATGAGTGTAGAGAAGGGAGAGAGACGGAACGCTTTTGTCACCTTTATTTCTGTTTCTTCAGTTCACTTTTGATATGCCTGTAAATAGTTAAGAGTTTTGAAATAAATCCCTTAAATGATAAAGGAGTGAGATCCCTCTGTACCACCTAGTTCCCCCAGCCGCTGGGGTATGCTAGGGGTGGGTCAGGGATCCCCTAAGGAGGAGAACAGGGGCAAAAGGGCCAGTTGCCAATTCTCCAAAGATTGCCAGGAAGCCCCAGGGCCGGTTCCTAGTGACACCTGAGGAAAGTTAGGAGGCTGTCCCACCTAACCAGAGCCCAAGAGAGGGACAGTGGTGGCAGCAATACCCGGAGGCAGTGGAGAAGAACTGCCCCTTCAGTTGCCAGGTCAGCTGACACAGGCCCGTTCCACCACAGCATGGTGGGCATAAAGGAAGCATAAAACAAATATTGATCATCCTAAAGTGATATTCATAGAACAGTCCTCAGGTTAGAAATAGTCCATATATAAGCAAAATGTAACCCACTCAGTTAAAATATGTTTTGGACCTGTGCCTAAAGGAAAATATGGTAGGTGCCAGGTGAACCTCAAGGGGGAGGGCATTCCAAAAGCAAGATCACACCACTGAAACAGCATCATCTTAGGTCACTACCTCCCTCCCTTTTGAAAGTAGGGGCAGAGACAGCAGACTTGAGACAAGCTGGTCAGTTAGGCATACAACAGCACATTCACAAGTTGTAAACACATAGATCTTTCGATGGTGAGGGATCCTACAACTCTCTCTCTCCCACAAAATGAACATCTTGGCACTTCGACTGTCTGAAAAGAACTTCTGTGCCATTAATACTGGTCTCCCAATTCATGCACAATGTGTGCTTTAAAATGCTAGGCAACTTACTATTAAATTATAGTATAACTAGGAATAAAGCCCATTGTGGAAATAAATACAATGAGCGCTAGAAAGAGACTCTGGGAGAGTTCCAAGGCCATGGGCACTCAGAATCAATTTGCCATGGCAACCTCAGCAGGGTATAAGGACACAGAGTCCACCATTTTCTCCAGGGGAACTGATCAATGCCATTTGGAGACCAGTTGGAATTCTGAGTGATCTCCAACCCTCAGCTGGATTTTGGCAACAGTGGTTCCCCATGAGGGAATGGCTGGTTTGGAGGACAGAGTCTATGGCACTGTACCTGTCTGCGGTCCCAACGTTCCTCAAACCTCACCCTTTCCAGGCTCCATCCCTCAAATCTCCAGGAATTTTCCACCTGGAGTTGGCAACCCTGTCCTTCCCAACCAAGCATCAATGTACCTTCATTCCCCCCTCACTGTTCAGCTTTCCATCTCCCCACTCGCACCTGCAGCCTCTACCTGGAGTTGGCAACCCTATCTCCTTCCCAGCCAAGCGTCAATCTACCTTCATTTCCCCCTCACTGCTCAGCTTTCCATCTCCTCCCCTGCAGCCTCTGCTGTGCTCTGAAGCCTTGGCTGTCATGGGGGGAGGGGCCTGTCAGCAGGGTAGAAGGACACAATGAGTTTTCTCCCAAGGCCCAAATAGGTGTGGAAAGAGGCTTTGGGGGGGGGGGGAACTCGGCAGGAATTTCCAAGCCTGGAGCTGGCAACCATAGGACTGGGCCCAATGAGTTTTTCACAGAGCTGTAGAAAGGGTTTTGTTCCTTTGTCTATTTACTGGCAGAACCAAGCTTGTTTGCCTACCAAGAGCCACTGAGGGAGAAGTTAGAATGCTTTGGCCGGTGGTCTCTATGGCATTCTATTCAGCTGAGGCCTCCCCTCTCCCCTCCCCAAACTCTGGCTTCCTTACCTGGAACTGGCAACCCTATGAGTCCTCACAACAGCCACTGAGGGAAACCTTTGTCCCACACTCAGGAGCTAAGCAAGAGAACCATGTTAGTTGGGAGACACAGAGCTTCTGACAGAGAACAGTGCCTGACAGGGGAGTGGACGGGGAAGAGGAACACACCCGGCCAATGGCACGCTACTAGTCTTGACTGGCAGCCGGCAGGCCAATGGCTGAGGGAGTGCATGCAATCTCGTCACCCCATAGGCCAGAAGCCACTACCATTCGGCAATTATATAAGAGAGAGTCTTTATATTAAACTTTGGCCTATACTACTTTCCCTTCTGACTGACAGATGTTGCACATGCCTACAATGTACAGGAAGAAAATAGTCTATTACAGTGTTGTTTATTACATATTTATTCTGCCCTTCCTCCAAGCATCTCAGGGCAGTATACATGGCCCTCTCCACTGTATCTTTATAACACCCTGAGGGGTAGACTATGGTGTGAAAGGGTGACTGACCGAAGATCATCCAGTGAACTTTATGGCACAGTGGGGGGATGAACCTAGATTTCTGATACTAACCATTACACCACAATGCCCCTAGAATCTGAAGATATTATTCCAACCATACTGAAACACCAGTGCAAGTGATTAGTAAATGCAGTTAAAATCTGCACACAGGAATGAAGAAATACTGTTAACGAGTACGTTGCACCTTTAAAATCTCTCTACTGTAAAAGTAAGCACTTCTAAGGAAGCATATCTGACAATTTAAATGAGTTTCAGAACACTGCCTACGCTCTCTATGGGTCTTGTTTTAACAGGGGCATCAACAGGAGTGCATGAGAGTACTTGCTGGTTTTCAAATAACTTTTGGTGTGGGAGTTCTCTCCAGCTTTTCACACATGCCTGTCAAAGCATTACAAGCACAAAATTTCTGTTGGAGCTGCTGCAAATCTTGCTATTAAAACGTTGAATTGCTAGTTAGGAGAACAGTTTTCAGACTGTTAAACAGCAGCTCTACTAGAGATACAGTAATATATGCTTCTTAGGGTATTTTGTTGAAATTATAGAAGCCTTTTTGCTCACCTATTTTCACTGTTTGTGTTCTTAGTTGCTTGTTTCTTTTATGGCTTTTCCATACTGTTTATGTTATATACCCAACTGATGCAAAAATATTAAAAATCACAATCACTTAATGGGAAAGGGGGAGCACAAGGAAACAGAAAATAGATTGAAAAATAAAGGCTCATAGGTTTGAATAGCATAAGGATAAAGCATACACAAGATGGAGATTTTTAGCTCAAAACAGTACGGCTGTGAAATTTGGTAGCATTGCCAAGCTCTACTTATAGCTCCTTCAGCAGGGTGGCTCATTACTAGGGGTGTGCATTCGGCAACAGCCGAACTGAAAAAATACCTGAAAAATACCTTGTCGATATTTTCCAGGTATCACATAAGCCAAATACAGATCAGAGATCTGTATTCAGCTACCAGTATCGCTGAACCCCCAAAAGCCGATATTATCCCGCTTTTTTTGGGGGGGGGTTCATTTTGCTATATCTAAAAAAGGTCAAATCTAACAGCTTTCTTTCCCTTCCTGAGATCGGGGAGGGAAAGAAAGGCATTTTAAACATGACTGGGTTCCCTGCCCAATCTTCTCCGTGTGCCCCTTTGCTTCCCCAGGCAGCCCACCACGGCGGGTTGGCTGGGAAAGTGAAGGGCAGGCATGCAGATATGCCCCTTCCTTCCCTGAGCCTCTCCGCTTTTGTGGAGAAATGGGGAAGGGAAAGAAAGGCATTTTAAACATGCCTGGGTTTCCTGCCTGATCTTCTCCAGGTGTCCCGCAGCCGTTTGCATGCTTTGCATGCCTGCCCTTTGCTTCCCCAGCTAGCCCACTGTGTCTGGTTGGCTGGGGAGGAGAAGGGCAGGTATGCAGACATGCCTTCTTCCTTCCCTAAGCCTTTCCACTTTTGTGGAGAAACTCGGGGAAGGGAGGGAAAATGGGGAGCATGTTTAAATGCCTTTAAATGCTTGAGATCGGGGAGGGAAAGAAAGGCATTTTAAACATGCCTGGGCCATGTCAGCTAGAGAAGGGAAGGCAGAGAGCAGAGGCTTTCCCTTGTCAATTTCACTCACAGCTGACTGGTGGGGAGTGAAATTGACAAGGAAATCAGTTGGAGCTACCAGAGGGAAATTTGGCATTTTAAGGTGCCTCCTTTCCCTCTGGTGGTGTATATCAGACCCCCAATCCAAATACTTTACAGGAACTGGACTGAGGAAATTTGGCATTTACCAATATTTTTGGGGTCTGATTTACCTGAAGCCGAAAAATATCGGCATTTTTTTTTGCACACCCCTACTTACTACTGCAAAGGCATGAACAGACTGCCTGCTAGTGAGTGGGCTAAACATATTTCCCCATTATCACAACATTCCTACCACTTTTCCTCAAGAACACAAAACATGCTTCTTCAGGGTCCTTTTTCTTTGAAGGAGTTCCAAACTCTTCCCACCCCATAACATTTGAAGTTAAAAGCATGGCACTATCTATATGTAGAGAAATAGGTTAAGTTTGAAAGAATATTCTGGAATAGAACTACTCAAAAGTTTATAATGCTTACTTGTCCGATCATACGACTCATGACATGTACGGGCAATTTCAGCACCAAGTTCGATGTGGCGTTCAGTTTTATCAGCAGGAGCTCCATCTGCACCCAGAACAAACATCCCTCCTGCAAAACAAGTCAGGTGGCCCATTTTGTGTTCAAGCAGGCCACCTTTCCACTCGGCAATGTACATCAAACCGGTGCTGGATTTCCTGATCAAATGGGTCTCTATGGACTGGAAAAGTTGAACAGAATTGTGTATTAGTATGCAATAAATGCAAAATAGATATCTAAAAACTTCTGCTTGGATCGTGTATAAAATTTTCATTGAAGGAAGGCATTTCCATTCATGGATTAGGAGTTCCTAGCCTGCCTCTTATGCTATAGCCACAAAGGTTCATCATTCTACTCCTGGTGGTCGAGGACCCCCTGGAACTATGGGAGGGGAGACTGGTGAAGATGCCCTTCCCTCTGCTAATGGAAATTTTCTTCTGAATCTAACCCTGTCTAGCACTACTTCAGTCACTTATGTGTGGTTTAATAATTCAAGAGCAGGAAGGGCAAAATCCTACCCTGACAATATCATATAAGATTTTTGTTTCTTATGCAACAGACATAGATGAAAATTACTGGTAAAATATTGACATAGCTAGTGATCAATCCAAAATGGCTGCAAGGGGGACAGGAGAGAATTACATTTCAACTGGAACAATTCTCTGGGACAACAGCTCTCCAATGGGGAATCTGGATATTTAAGACTGGATAATAATCCTGGGGATGCAGGATGTGAAACCACAGTAATCTAATTAATAATCTGATTAATGACCAGATCCACCCATGTTATGACCCCGGGTGAGATTTCTTGTTAGCCAGTAGCCTGCCAGCCTCTCTCTCAATACACTTGGTTTGTGCATGTACTCTTTCCTGTCAATAGCTTCTTGTCACATCCCCAAGAGGACCAATGGATTCAGAATCCATAACAGCCACTGGCTGAGAACATTTTAACCAAGTGTTAAATGTCAGAATCTGAAAGAATCCTGACTAGTACCATGGCGAATAGTGCACATTACTGATCTCAGCAGCTGAATAAGCAGGAGGAGATTTGGGAATCTAAGTCAAATGGCCACCAAGAACCATACAGAGGAACATGGATTCTGTCTCCTACAAAAGAGATGCTATGGCTTAGCAATTCTTTGCTTTGTGAAGATTCAGGCTTGGGTCCAATCGTGTATGTCCGTGGATGAAAAAAAATTTTGGCCATCAAGTGAAATGTTCCCTACATCTCAGGAAGATGGAAAGTGAGAAAGTTGTATTCTACCGGCAAAAATCCTTCTGTCCATGAAAAAAAACAATCCTCTATGGGATCCAAGTCTCAGAACAGAGAATTAAAGTAGGGGTGTGCATTTCAAACAATTCATTTCAATCTTGTTTCATTATTTCAGAAAGGTCATAATTATCATTTTCCTGAAATTTTGGAAGTATTGGTATCATTTGTGACATCTATTTAGACTGAATTTTTCAGATTCAGGAATATTTAGGTACTGGTAAACCTAGAGTCTGGAATCCTGCAGACATAGACCTGGCTTGTGTTCTCAATAGATGGTAAAATTGTAGAATTTGACCTGCCTTCTGGAGTCTGGATGCCACATGTACTGTAAACAGATGAAATAACACCCAAAGTCCCCTTTTTTGGAAAAAATGTGGGGAATCCCAAAATTTCAGATTATTGCTGCAGGTGTTGGAGCAGTTCTTTTGTAATACAACCCAAAAATGAATGTTCCTGAGAATACATATGTACATTTCAACCATAGGAGGAGGCTGTTAATTATGGTGCGCTTGCAGTCTAAACTGAAGAGGGCAAAATATTCCTAAGCACCTTTCTCATTGCTGTACATATGTCCTCATAAACCTGGTTCCCAGTGACTTCAGTGCTATACGAATAGCTTGTGCAGTATCCTGTAGGAACAGAGACAGGGTTGTGGCTTATGTGGACCAGTATGTGAGGCTAGGGGACCTTGTGGATTTCATTAAGGGCCCCCTACCCCCCAATAATTCTGACACTGAGCACAGCAGCCATAGTTGATCAATTTGGTTGTAACTGCTTTAAGCAATATAGCACTTTGTAATATGCTTCCTTTTGAGGATAAGACCTGCACTAGCACATTTCAAATTATTATGTATTTTTGCTTAATAATAAATTATACATCTTCATCAAACAAGGACAGCAATAAAATAAATACATCATAGACACAACAGCCAGAGAGGGCCAAGTTTCAAAGACATAGATTTTCAATATTCAGTTGTTGTTGTTTGCATAGCCATAGGGGAAACACTGCAAGATCATTCTTAGTGTTCAGAAGAATAAAAATATTTTAACATACAAAATTTGAAAAAGGTTAAGAGTCATCATAATATTCCTAAACAGAATCTTAATTGACAAAGTTTTTACACTTCCACTAATTTAAAGAGATGACTCTTTTGCTGAGCTACACTGAGGAGAGAGTTACACGTTTTATGAGTTTTGCATTTCTTAGAAGATGACTAGGCTTGGATTAATGTTACAGTTTTGGAGAAACTAAAAATTAGGCATCTGGATGTAGATTTATGAGAGAGATACAGACTAAAGAAGGTTAGAAGCAAGTCATTCTTAGTGCCTTTATTTTAAATTTATAAATGGAGAATTAAAGTTACTCCTTGTATATGAACTTATTTCAAAAACTTTTGTAGGAGAATAAATATAAAATATATTCTATGACCGAGAGACTACTTTCTATTTCTTAAACCTTTTCAGGCAGTCTCAATTATAATTTTTCTAGCTTCTTAAAACTGTTACGGAAACAAAATAATAGACACCTTTTTAACTTTGTTTTGTTGATCATAAACAGATTTATCTTGTTTACCTGAACAGCATCATAATACATTTGCTTGCCTTCTTCATCGGTCTTATCTGACATTAGCCATGCCTTAAGCAAATATTCATAGAAACTGTCTCCAAGTCCTCCAACTGAGACATGATCTGAAATGTAACAGAAGAGGATCAATTGTAATTCCACTTTCAGTTTAAACACACACAACTACTTGTGATGCAAGTAGATTAACTGCTATATAACTTCTTGTAACAATTCTGTAGAAGAGACTGAAGCCTCAGAAAATTCTGTTATCTGTTAAATGGTGCTGTCATAAGCCACCCACTCGTCTCCTCCAGTTTCCCAGCCTCGGGCAGACCAAAAGGGAGACTTTGGGGGTGGATCCAGGAGAGGGTGGGGTTTGAGGAGGGGCCTCAGCATGGTACAATGCCATAGAGTCCACTCTTCAAAGCAGCCATTTTCTCCAGGGTAGCTGATCTCTGTCAGCTGGAAGTCAGTTGTAAAAGCGGGAAATCTTCAGGCCCCACCTGGAGGCTGGCAACCCTATCTAGGTTTTCCTTGAGACCCAAACTGCAACCTATGGGAAATCCCCCTCCAATCCTAGCAGCTGCTTTTGGACAATGGCTTCCCTTCTTGGTGAAGGAGCTACACTGGATTTCCCATCTTTAACCATTCCTTGCAACCAGGGAGTGTCTACTTGAGACCAATGAGAGTGCTGAGGGATTGGCAGAATCCTTCCCACTAAAACTAGTTTTGTCCAAACCCTCAAAGTCTTGAATCAATTACTTTTAGAACCAGGAATTGGAAACCATTCATCCTGGCCCTGTGACAGCATGTCCTAATGGATGGAGCCAGTTCTGGTGCTTGTCTCTGATTTCACCTGTTTGTCAAACTAAAGCTTTTGCTTTCCCCTACTTGGAGTAACCAAGGCTTTTTATGACCGTACTCACAAAACAGGGCAGTGGTTTATTCAGGGTATTTTTCATACACAAGACACTTCAAAGTACTGTGCTCTGTGGGCATGAAAGAAGTCCCAATTGAGCTATTTCCCACCCCAATTCTATTGAGCCAATTTGTTGTTGTTAGCCATTCAGTCGTGTTTGACTCTTGGTGATTCTATGGGCCAGCTCTCTCCATGTTTTCCGATCTTGTACTGTTTGAGTTGTTCCATGCTCAGGCTGGTGTTGACTTTTATGCTGTCTAGTTTAATTTGGATCAACTCATTCTATGGGATACTTTTTGTGGGCCAGACCATAAGATCACACGCATGGTACAGTTATCTGGTGAGAGCCAACCAAGTCTGACTAGGGTTTACTGGGCCTTTAGGCAAAAAGGATATCACTCATGTACGAAGTATTTTCTGGATAAATTGTACATTTATCAGCAA